TATATATATATAATTGCTGGCTAATAGTATATAATAAAACATTTAATAAAACTTCATTTCAATTTCCCTCCAAAAATCGTTACAAATTTTATCATTTATATCTCTCTCTCTATATTTAATTATTAATAATAAATTTAATAATATTAATTATTGTTTACTATCTTTTTATGTTACAATCTTCTATTATTATTATTATTATTGTTATTATTATTATTATTATTATTATTATTATTATTATTATTATCTATATATATATAATTACTAATTGATGCATTTAATAAAACATTTAATAAAACTTATTTTTATTTTCCTGCAAAATGCATTTTTTTAACTAATTACTCACTAATCTGCTAAAACCGTCACACCTTTATATATATATATATTTATTATTTAATTTTTGGATCAGTTAATTTTATATATTTATTATTTAATTTTTGGATCAGTTACTAAATTAATTCTAAATTTGGTAGCAAAATATTCAAACGTGTAACGGCTAATGTTTGGAACTTAAAGTTGATTGGCACATTAAGAGTTGTAACCGTTATATTTGGTTGCATTGTTGGAAGAAAAATATGATTGACACATATTTTTTTTTCTAAAAATCAGAAACACCAATATTTTTTTGTATTTATGTTAATTTTCTTAATATATGCCACAAATATATAAATTATTTTAAACGTTGCATGGTTAAAATAAATTTAAATCTCAATCAATTTAGAATGATAAAAATAACTTAAGAGAAAGTAATAATTTTTATATGATAGAAGTACATGTCTAATTAATAAATACAAACAAAAAATATGTTTTATATATGTGCAAATGCACATGATCAAATACTAGTATATATAAAGTTTCCCATTTTAACATTTCATTACATGTACAATAACCTATATAATCAGCCTCTTCCATTTAATTGCATCTATACTTTGATAATTGAAATCTCAATTCTCTTTGTTTTCTAACTCCAAGCCCACATAATGCTTTGAATGGTCTCACTTCCCTTCCATATATATAGATGTAAGTAAACTATGCTAAAATGTAACAACATTAATCATGTGATCAGTCTGCAGATATTTGTACATTTTATTTTTAGCCAATATTATCTAAAGACAATGTATATATGAACCATGTGCAATAGGCATGTGCAATGTATATATCCACCTTGTAGCTAGCTAGTCAATAAAAATTTAGTTAATTTAAAAAAGATTCCCATTTCCCATGAGACCACTTGGAACACAATATCAAGAAGTCTACTACATGTACAACAAAGTAATAACATATATAATTTAATCAAATATTTATTGGCAACCAATGGTTCCCATCATAGTCCATTAGTCCTATCCTATATAAACATGATATATTCCTCACAATGGATAGAAACATTACTACTACTACTACTTCACCCTAAACCCAAAACAAAGAGAGAGAAAGAAAAAGCTTTCATTTGCATCACAATCCAACAAGAAAAGACCAAAACCAACCCCAAGAAATCATGATGGCAAATCTAGCTCTGACCTCCGGCCGGTGGCCGGAAATCACCTCCGGTGGCGACACCACGACCACCGGCAGATGCATTAGTTATGCAGGAAGAGCAGAATGCAATAACAGTAGTAGTAGTAGTTGTAGTACAACATCATCATCAGCCAGTATATGCTGTGGTTTGTCGAGATTGATGAGAAGACTTATCCAGAGACGACCCAAAAAGTTGCATCCGGCGAGCCGCCAGTCATCCTTCCAATGCCGTTATGACCCATTGAGCTATTCCTTAAACTTCGACAAGAGTGGGTCGGGGGACTTTCCGGACGATGATTATTACAAGTATTATGCCTTCTCATCGAGGTTCGTTGCCACAACGGCTATGACCGAGTGCAATGATCATTAAACCAATTTGAAAGAAAATTGGTAATGATCAATTTTTCTTGATTGAGCTCTCATATATTATAGGCAGAAACATAGAAAGTGAACTAGGAGTGAATGTAATAGGTATTGTTTTGGGTATGAATGTAACCAATATTAAGTGTAATATCAAGATTCAAGAATGCGCAAACAAGAGTTGTCAAGGAAGACCTGAATGCATACATTCTAGTTTTAGAATTATTAAGAAAAACATAATGCTTAGTTCTCAATAATTACAATTTTTTTGTATATATATTTTTTTTTTTAAAAAAAAAAACTTATGTTGGAAAAAATAAATTAATAATAATGCGATGACATAAAGTGAAGTAAATTAAAATATTTGGTTTTGTTTGATATGTAATGTAATCTGCTTCTAAGCGTAACAATCAAATTAATGAAGCAAATAATCAAGTTGAAGAATTGACAGTTTGAAACTAACACGACCACACATTATAAGAAAACAAGATTATTGGCCACAAAATAATCTAGAAGACTATATAAACATAGTAAAAAGTTAAAAGCTTAAACCAGTAAAGGAGCAAACAAATTAAAAAAAAATAGTAAAATACACATTTTTTTTGTTTGGGTACAAAAAATACACATATTTTTAAGTG